ACCTAAAAAAAAATTTGGTGCCCCTAAAATGATGAAACCCTGTTCGATCGCTCAACTCGCGCACCCTCAAAGCCGCCAATGTACTCTTGGTTAAAAAGTATAATTATTAATCTTTTTGTTGGAGTGGTTAAAGCCCACTCAAATATATTCCTGGCACTTAGAAAAAGGACAGGTTCCTTTGTTTGACTTTAATATTCAACTTCATATCCTCCACTTCAAGCGTGCATAACTTTTATATATACGAGTTCTAGCAAGACTTCTCTTCTATTTCAATACCAATATAAACACATTTTTTTTTAATCTAAACACATTTTTAAAATACTTTTAATCTAAAAGTATTTTAATTTGAAAAGTCAAACTCATTCTCTGTAAACGCATTCAAAATATTTCAATTTTCAATGGATGAAAATAATATCATAATTTGGAGAGAAGCTGTGAAAATAGAAGATAGGCAAAAATAATAAATATTTTTTAAGTAGTAAAATTAATCAACACACGAGGAGCATGCTTTTAAATTTTACACGAAAATAATGACGGAACATCGATTTTTTGGGATTGATATTTCAGTTTGACGTAAAGAATGTCTTCAACATCACAAAGAATGCCAATCGTCACGGGCTAACCCTCTAATAGAACCGAGACTGTCCATTTCACGCCATTAAAGAAACTAAGCCGGAGCCTCCAGAGGCTCAACTTGGTAATAACTAAGTCTAAACTAGAAAGGTCTAGGTAACAGCTAGAATGGAGCCCAACTTGGTAATAAATCCTTCAGGTCCACTTCAAGCAAATTCGCATTAAAACTCGTAATTTTTATTATGCATTTTCAATTATACATTTTATGGAACTCGTAATTTTTATCAACTTTTCAACAAAATATTTCATCAACTTTTTTTAGAATCTATTAAAAATATGATTTTTTTTTAGCCAAACCAAACAGTGGCATGTAAATCTGCTTAATTCAATCATATCTAAAATGCCGGTGCTGTAGAAGAAGATGTGCGGTCGTTCACACAAAAAGTAACCCAGAAACGTAAAAATTTCAACAAAATGTAAGAAAGCATTTTTTTTTTCTTTTCAATACTGGAACCTAAGATAATAGAAAAAATCAAAATCAAAAGAAATTGATTAAGCCTAGGCACACTCATCAAACAACAAAGAAGGGGAATAATCTCTTTCAAAAAGCAACAATCAGGATTGTCTGCCTTCTAGCTTCAAGCAAACGGAGTATCAAGAAATGAAGATGTGAATATCAAATTAACAGGCACAAAATCAGGTACATGGTTGATAAGGGTTTTATCCGACGTTTGCTGCTAAAAGCAATAGCACAATTATTTCCAACAAATGTAACTTTGAGCCTAACATCTGATTTTCTTGTCTAGAATTCATGATACTAAAGCTTTCACCAATTAGAGTTGTTAAAGTGGCAGGAATTTCCAGTCATCAAAGGGATTCGTGCTTTTGACTCCTCAACCAATATGGTTGCCATCTTGCTCGTACACACTTAAAATTTAACTGTGAGAAAAGAAACAAAAAAACTATACATGGCAAGACTGTTCCTGGAAATCCCATCAATTTGTGTTTGGCGTCTACATGCACAAAACTACTGTCAAGCGAATCTAGTTCTTTTTCAAAACCCATAATGGCTAACGTTTCAGAAAAGGCTTTAACTTTCCAAACACAATGCCCATGGAAATCCTTGACCTCCTTGAACCATCAATCCCATCCTGAAATATTTCATAAGTTGTATATCTAATCTAATTTATTTCATAAGATGACAATCACTAACAAACAGAGATTCAGTTTGGAGTCTTAGAAGGGAACTTAAGGCTATAACATAAACAGTCGAGAAAGATGACGGAGCAGATATCACTTGAAGGATGCTAATAATGTCATTCTGAATTAAGATAAGCAATATCCTGAACTCTGATATGCAATTTGTCAGCAAAGACAAAATTATCAACAGCGTTATCCCATCAAAAACAAATGGAAACTAATATATAGAATCTAAATCAGATTCTAGCTTATCATCCTTACAAGAATGAAGTATTTAGTGAACAGTCTGGCATTTTTTGGGCTGTGGGAAAGGATTTTAGGATACAAGGCACAAAACACGACCCTTCCCTTCAGACATTTTATCAAAAATTCTATCTGGAAAAGTCGTTTAACGAATTATTGAAATCAGTTGTTTCCTCTACATATTGAGCATCTGCAGAAGTGAATAGTCCATCATATGTTAATAGAAAGTACATCCAACGACCAAAACTCTTTAGTATGAATTTTTCAGATTTCTATTACAGTGTAAATATTTTGTCCTAACACACACCAGGTAACATTTCTTTTCAAGACACTTAGAGATAATCAACACAAATGATCGGTTGGTCCATTCAGTTGTTGGCACCAGAGGAACCCGATAAAATATTGTACCATTTTCATATTCTTAATTTCCTTATCATTGTTATGTAACTGCTTGTATGTCCTTATTAACTAATAAAACATCTCCCAGAGTCGAAGGAGAAACAAAATATACAGAGTAAAATGATACAAGTATTTTAGACACTTCTAACAAATTACATAGTCTATTCAAATTCCAACAAACAAAGGAAATACTTTAATCAAGATCAAATACAACAGGTTATGCCATAAGATAAATAAGAAATAAGTACTATGACTTAGAAAAATAGCAAGCTAAAATTACATTAACACATACTAAACACAAACATGTTGGTGATCAAGATTGATATATAAAAATGTTAAACATAGATAGCATTTCTAGAGTTTCCATTATAAGAGGAACGTGATTGATAGTGAACTAGGTAGCTAAAAACGCGTGATTACAGTAAAGGAAAATTATAAGCTCGTAACATAGACCAATGACAAACTACCTGCCATAGAACAACGACAAAAAATAATACCTCTTCACAATTCACGGCTCTGACGACTTCAAAACATCTAAAACTTGCTTTATACGCGTGTGAATGAAGTCCAGCTTCTTCAGGTAGAGTGCAGTCTCCTCCACTCTCAGCTTTTTCCACTCTCTTTCCGTCTCAACCCTCTTCTCCTCTTCAATCAATTCCACCCCAGTCCTCAAAATCCAATCCTCAAAATTCCCACAGTGGAACCTCACACTCTTTCCCGCCACCATCTCTGCATCAGCATTCACATTCTCCACAAATTTAGTTTCCTTTGAATCCCCAGTTTCGACCATAGCTCTCTTACTTGGAGATTTCCTTACAGCACTGCCCTTTTCCTTTGGACTCGCTATCACTTTCTCACCCTCATTATCATCACCATTCACATTGCCCCATATCTTTTTGGACAATTCATAAGCTTTTTGCTCGTGGGACTTTGTAAAGGTCCTCTCTTTACCCGTCTTCTCTTTACTTTTATTATTGACGTACTTCTTCTTCAACCTCCGAATTTTAGCTTGCAATTGAGCCCTAGTCACGTCAACATGCAAATTTTTCCTAATAAAATCATGAAATGCATTCAGATCAGCAACATGATCAGTCTTTTTCTTCTCAATGTAATCAAGCATGCCTTTAAGAACCACAATCTCATCATCCTCACTCCAAAGTCTCTGGAATAGCTGTTTCTTGGAATCATCGTTCGATTTTTTCTCAGAATTTTCGGCGTTGATCTCTGGTTTTTTCTTTGGCCTTTTAGAATCCTTAGCATCACTCCCCTTCTCCATAGCAGGGCGTTTTGCGGCGACGGACTTGGTCGGAGATGTCGGTCCGGAATCACTGGGCCCGAACTTGAGCTTTCTAGTAGCGGTTTTCTGTGGGTCCTCCATGGACTTGGAGGCAAGGGGCTTGACAGCTGGGTCGGGTTGGTCCGACTCCGATTCAGATCCGGTTTCAGATTCGGACTCTTCTGAAGAGGAAAGATGAGGTTTTGAGGAAGAGGATAAATTGGGTTTCATAGGGGCGGGTGCAGTAGAGGGCTTTTTGGCAATTTGAGGTTGGGGTTCCTCCTGTTCAGAGTCGGATTCGGAGGAACCGATTTCTTCAGATGAAGTGTCGTCTTCTTCAGTGTCGGATTCCGGAGCAATTTCTGGTTCACGATTTTTAGACATTTTGTGTTTTTCTGGAGAGTGAGAATTGGACAGAATAGTTTTTGCCTTCAGAAGCTAGGGTTCTTTCTGTAAAATTTGAGTAAATTGCGACCTCCGTCCCCCAACCATAGTAAATTTAGCATATCTACCTCCAACCTTTATTTCTTGACTTTTGATCGTTAACGTTTCAAAAATTAGCGACTATGGTCCTCGTTAACATAATTGGTATTTACCCAATACTTTTATGGAAATTTGCAGAAATATAGGCCGATTAAAATAATTTTGATTGAATATATTTTTCAACTACAAAGTATAAAACTGCATAAAGTATTTCTTTTATTGTATCATACACCGTGCAATGCACAGTTAGAAAACTCGTTTCTAGAAAAGTTTGTATTAAATAATAATCAATGTATTTTTCTTATTTTTGTTTGCATGTCTTCGTACACGGGGGTTTACACCCCCGTTTACACTCCCCTCACATGAGGGAAGAGCCCACGATGAATAAAATAATCGTGCCCCCCATTGTGAGGGGGGAGGTGGGGCCGGGTAAACGGGGGCGTAAACCACCGTGTACAAATAACATAGTCCCTCGTTGATAGTTTGTATATTTGACAGTAAAAAAGGCACGTGATTTTACATGTCTAATTTCTTAAAGAATACTTGAAATTGGTAAATCTTAACTCTAACAAAGAAAGTTTGACGTGAGAATCCCATTTGATGTGCATGAATATCTATATTGATTAGAAGTCGTGAAGAAGCATCTAAATTATGTTTGTGATGGGGACACAAACACGATTCTTCCTATCCTTGAAAGCACTGAAAAAATATCAGTTTCAACTTTCAAATGTGAATCATCTGATGTCAAGTGATGCGGCATATAGAAAATGCCACCCCCTTTTCTTGATTCTATTGTACCTTATTCGAGGATTTTGGCACGTTTGGCTCTTCGGGCATCGATAAGCCAAATAAATAACGAGGAATAGCAAATTTTTGTCGAGGTCTCCTTTTCGTCCTCAACTTTCGTTGAGATATTTTATGCATAATGATCGAGAACTACAACTACAGGCACTAAAAGGTGTCAAATGGTATCTTAGTAATCGACATGTTGCTAATTAGAACTCGATCGAATAAGAATCATTGATTACCTTTGCTATCAATTTTTTATTTATTCATGGCGCTCGGATAATGTTCAGAGAAGTTCTCTCTATTAAAATGAAAACCGAAAGCCGAAATCCAAAATAACTTTAAATTATTAAAGACGGTGAATTTTTTTTTTTTTTTTTTGACGTTCATTTATTGTAACTGGAGCGTGAGATAATCGTTATCATAGCATGATTCAACTCCCTTCCTAGGCTTAATGTTTTTTGATTGGTTATTTATATGTCCAAATGAACTTACGGACACATTGTAAATGACCAAATGAAATTACAGACACATAGTGCACCAAAAAGTTTCTTAATTTTTTCCTAGTTTCTCTTAAGGGTGGATGTGGGTTGGATTTGATCCGATTTGAGGATAACCCAAACTGAACCGACCAAGTCGATGTGATTAATTTCCCAAACGAGTCGACCCAATGTTTGGGTCCGTTTGTTTTTGTTTGATTTAGTTAGGTTATTAGACTTGGGCAGAAGAACGTATGAGAGGGCTAATTTTCCGAGACTTGCAAGTAGAAATTTCCCCAAATTCATTAACATGCAGACTTTACAAGTAGAAACTTGCAAGCATTATATGCCCAAAAAAAAAAATCTACACGGGCAAAAATAAGTAGAAGAGAAGTTGATAGATTACTAGAGAGTTGAGAGCACTAAGACGACGACTAGAGTTTAACAAATCAGTAAAGTCTCAGAGAGATGGATTTCAATTTTGATTTTTTTGATTTTTAAAATTAAAAAAAATTATAATTTTTGATTGGATCGATTTGAATTGAGCTTTGTAATCCAACACGAAATCCGAACCATCCTGTATAATTTTGAGTCCGAAACCAACTTGACCCAAACAAAAATCTACAAAAAGGGACTCAATTAAACTGTTCAGCCCTGGTTCCTCGTGCAGGTTACTAATCTCAAGTGGAGGGGGACCATATGTATAAAGCTTCAAAGATATTGCCACTTTTTGGAGTCAATGTCATGGTTTTGAGCATTTTGAGTGAATGGCTCTCGTAGAGTCAAATAGCATCACCTTAAACTTTTTTTTTCTTTGCATGCGCATCGACCCAATAGAAGGAAGAATTGTTTTCAAACTTTATATTGAGATGCTAAATGGATACAAAGCGCGTATTTGATGCATTAGATAAAGAATAACAGTACATAATGAAATAATAATACATTTTTTTCCCCATAATATCGAACAAGGAGCCCCCCCGCCCCGCCCCACCCCACCCCACCCCCCCAGGGGATACGAACATCGTGTTGGAAATGTATCTAAAAAATTATTTATTTGGTGAATGAAAAATTAAGCCAAATTTGAGCCCTTAAATTGTTGAAAAATCGTATAAAATATTCTAGAAAATATGATGCAAAAATGTGTCTTTTCATATGGATCATGACTTTTGATATTATTTTTCAATAATCGTCTCTTTATGTAAAGATGTATTCGTGTCTCTTTATGGAAAGAGATAAATTTCAATAGATGTGTTATTGGTTTGGTTTTTCCAACTATTATATAAGAACCCATGTGTGTAGATTTTATAATTTAATTAATCATTCTTTTCATATCATGTTGTATAAAATACTTTGTATAAGTAATCATTTGTGCAAAAAATCATGGTTATAGAAGAGAGAGAATTTCGTTCGAGTTCGTTAGTTTAAACCCTTTGGAGTGCTCCTACGACTAGACGTGGTCGTTGTATCTTAGGAGATGATTGTCAAGAAACCGTTGCACCAATACGGGGCAAATTCATCTTAAGGAAAAAGTGTTCAACACTTGCTTCGTCTAAATCGCATCACTTTCATCATTTCTTCTTTTGTCTTTCTAGTTTACGTTTGATTTCAAAATCTGATCTAATTTATTTATATTTTTATATTGTAAGGAGAACTTTTGAAAAAAGTTATCATTCAAAAATAGAAATGGATGAATCTATATTCATGCGTTCAGATGCAGTTTTAATAAGTTGAGATTACGTCTTGACTTCACAGTACGTTTTATGAATTATGCACAATATCGGTGTATTATCTCAACAAATCGAAATGTCAACTTTGATGTACAAATGGCAAAACTCTATAGTAATGGCCCGTTTGGTACCGATTAAAATTCAATTAAAATTGAAAATATAACCGTTATTGGACCCCACTGGTATAATAAAAGTTAACAATAACGGCTAATTTTTCAATTTTAATCTGATTTTAATCTCTACCAAACGGGCTCTAAATATAGAACAATTCTATATGTACAAAAATGGATTATAAAATGGTTGACTGGCAAGATTTGGGTCAATAATTTAAAAAACAAATTTTAAAATCATCACTTCAGATCTTGCCAACATATATTTTTGTCAATAATTTTTCTAACTTAATTTTGTACAAGTGGATTAATTGTTAAATCAATGCTATTTGAAAGCATGTATTATTCAATATTTACGCCATATTTGTTTCGAATTAAAATCAGATTTTAATTTAAATCAAAGTCAAACAATCAATAGTAACCATATTTTTCATGCGTCCCACAGTTTTTCAACCATATATTTCAAAAACTTTTATCACAATCTACTAAAAATCTAGTTTTAATCTCCATCAAACACCTACTTAATACTTTTCGAAAATAACATCATATTATCACACAAAGTCATTGGATGTCATCATGACGAGGATTTAGCTCTTTATAGCTTACGTTGAATTCAAGTTGATAGGGTTTGACAACCTTAAGCCTAAATTTAACGAATTAACCTAATGAACATAATGATTGACATAAGAGTTGATCAATCATTTATATTGTATGTGGATCCCGACCTGAATTAAATAATGTCGGCCTTCCCATATGTGTGTGTTGTGTCATCCCATATGTCAAGTATTATGTCTGTTTAGCAAAATTCAAATTAACCCCAATTTGATCTAAATAAAAATTAAATTTTTATTAGATTTTGATAAAAGTTCAAAAAAACACGTGGTTGGAAATTATGAATCTAATGCAATATATGATTAAAATTAAGTTTTTTTTCGGTGGAAATTAAAATCAGATTTTTAGTAGATTTTGATAAAACTAACGAAATATGTGGTTGAAAAGTTGTAGGTTCCATAAAATATATAGTTAAAATTAATTGTTAACTTTGACTTTATCTAAAATTTAAAATTTAACTCCTACCAAACACGGGCTAAGTATTAACTTTGAATTAAATTTTAACCCATGTTCTAAAAAAAGTTAAACGCGCCGCCTAGGCGCGACGCGCGTCCAAACCGCGTCGAATTCGGGAAATGCGGGAAAAATACGTTTTTCATCTAGGCGCGCATTATCCCGCCTAATCCTCTTTTTTTTTTTTTAAATCTATTTTTTTTATGATATATTAAAAATCTTGATTCTCGGTCTCGACGCTTCACAACGCATTACGCATGTTAGAACACTGATTTTAACTCACCTTTTTAGTGAAATCTTGCCGGATCTAGTCTCAATTTAAAAATTAAATCGAAATCAAATATTAATTTTAATCACATGTTCATTACTATTGCTCATTATTATTCACATATTTTGTGGCATGATGAGTACCATTTAGTCATTTACTATCTATTTAGACATTTTCTGTCGATTTGAGACACCATATACACAATGTCAAACTGTTGGAGAAATGCAATGGCATAAAATAAAGGTTTGAGATATGAATGTCACAATTAGAAAAGATACTTAAAAGGTATTGGCAAGTTCGAAATGATTCGCCACATTGTCTTTAATCAGAACAAGTAAAAAATGTAGAAAAGCATCCTATTCTTCACCAAATTTTGTAATAACACTCTTATCAACGTTACAATCATCCATTACATAGACTTTTATCAAAATTCTCCAAAAGTTTTATTAAAAAAATTATAAAACAAAGGCAATAAAATTTAAATTACTATAAAATTACATATGAAAGCGAGAAAAAAACAATTGATAATACGAAGAGAGTGAGGTGATATATATTACATTGGGGGTAGAATATAACATATAATATTTCATTTTTATGAACCAGATATTTAAAAGTAAAGTAGTGCTTTTTTGACGAACGGACTACGCTTTTAGTGAGTGGTGGCGCCACCTGTGAGCCCAGTTTATAACCGTTAATGACTCCTCGCCCGCCACGAAGTTTTTCTCTCCACCACTCCTTTCCTTTTCCAATTTTCCTCCATAATCTTCTCTGTATATCACAAGGATACTGATTTTCTTCTTTCTTTTCTTTCCCTTCCAAAACAAACCCATTGAAAAAATCACTTCCTGTTGTACCTCCGGCTGTAGTTTTTCTCTCCACTACTCCTTTCCTCTTCCAATTTTCCTCCCTAATCTTCTCTGTATACCACAAGGATACTGAATTTCTTCTTTCTTTTCTTTTCTTTCCCCTCCAAAACAAACCCATTGAAAAAATCACTTCCTGTTGTACCTCCTGCTCCGGTGGAACAACTCTTCTCGGGCACCAAGAAAATGGAGTCTCCTCTGGAGCAAAATGGGAAATCCTCCAACTGGTTCTTTGATTATACATTACTTGATGATATTCCTGTCCCCGGCGACGACCTCCCTCCTCTTGAAGCTACCACCTTTCGCTGGACCCAACCCCATAACGATTTCGTCCCTCCTAACCCTCTCAGGTCTCTCTCTCTCTCTCTCTTTTTTTCTCTCTCTTCGCTTTAATTTGATATTTCTGTGTATTAAATATTCGTGTTTTGTTGTTTTCGTTAATCTTTATAAAAAACTGAAATCAGTGGATCACGTAGTTTCGTTTTTTTTTTTTTTTTTCATATCAATTGTTCAATTTGATGTGGTTACAGCTTCTTCAACTTTGATTTAATGGGTTATGCATTAGCTATACCTGAGTCTGAATTTTACTATTTAATTATATATTTGAACTGACCAATTTAGAGTTGGCTAAGCTTGAGATAAAATAAGTAATTTTATTCCAAATATATTTGGAGAACTTATTCTAAAACATACTTTCATACTTGATTAAAAGTAAACTTTTTAAGCTTATCCAAACATGATGGAATCAAGCAGAGTACAAGATTAAGTGAAAATGGAGTTAATGTCCAATTGCTGGTAACGTAGTTCTATTAGGAAAATATTGAACTTGCAGTGGCTTTTCACTGGTGGGTAGCCGTAAAAATTTTCAACCCAGGGAAATGGACTCAATGAGGATGGATTTCACCATTCAAACTTCATTTTTAACCACACGTTCAAATAGACCGACAAGTATTATTCACTTTTCCACCACTTATTTCTATCTATTTATAAATTCTACTGAAACGGAGTCTAAGATACTTTTATCTTATGACGTTGTTATCTATTACATAGCTAGATGAATCAAATGTTTGGCATGAATAGTTTCTTCTCAATATGAGCACATCCCCATTTTCTCTACCATGTTTCAGTGTGGAATTTGATGACTCGTTCGGAAATTCTGATGGTTTGAAGGAGTTGGGCTCGAGGAAGAGGTGTGTATGCAATTCAGTTAAATTTATTTTTAATTTTTTGTCGTTCGGTTTTCAATTTGGCTAAATGAAAATAGGTGAAGTTAGCATATTCTTCTGAACTAAATTTGTTTGGTAGTATTTTCTTCCAATCAGTCCACTTCCCCCTTTTTTTTTTAAACTGTTTTCGCTTTTTTTTTCCATTAGGATGAGGTCTGGAACTTGTAGTGGATCTGATTCCAAAGCCCACAAGGAGAAAATCCGTAGGGACAAGTTGAACGACAGGTAATCTGGTTGCACGCCTGTCTGCATCTTTTGCGGTGAATCTATGTTCGTGTATATGTTGACCTTGTTATTATATCAAGGTTCCAAGAATTAAGTTCTATCCTAGAACCTGGAAGGCCACCTAAAATGGATAAGGCTGTCATATTGAGTGATGCTGTTCACGCGGTGATTCAAATGCGGGAAGAAGCCCAGATGCTGAAAGAATCATACGAAAGTTTGCAAGAGAAGGTTAATGAACTGAAGGTGAGGCTTGTTCTTTCAATTTACTAGTCTAACATCCAAATGCAGTTGCTTTATTTAGGAGGTTTCAATGCTATGCTCTGTGTATTCCTTGATATTACAAAAATGTTGTAGGCCGAGAAAAATGAGCTCCGAGGCGAGAAGTTGAAGCTGAAAACAGAGAAAGAGAAACTTGAGCTACAGGTGAAAGCATTGAACACCCCGCCAACAGGGTTTTTACCTCGCCCCCATCCAATTCCCATGCCATTTGCAGCCTCACCTCCAGTTGTTGGCAGCAAGTTGGTGCCGTTTGTTGGATACCCTGGAATTCCAATGTGGCGATTCATGCCACCTACTGCTATTGATTCTTCAGAGGATGAAGCTCTTCCCCCAGTTGCTTGAGTTTTGGTATTTCTGCAGCCTGCTTGACGAGCTGCTTGAGTTCAGTGTCAACAAAATTGTTGACATTTCTTTTTCTCAAGGATTTTTGAGGCTGGTGGTGTAGACAGATGATGATTATTTTGGAGAAACAACTTCTATCGACTCCTAAAATAACCGCTGTACTTGTTAACAAAACCTGATAATTTTGCTGCTTTAGTAACCTTTCTTTGTAGAATTTTATTTATGAATGTGTCATAAAACGTGTTCATTATATATTATGCTGAAATCATATGAACTGAAGTGAAATCTCTGATAAAAGACTAATATATTCAGTTGGTACAGACGTTCATAAACTGATATACGAAGGTAACAGTTAACAAGGTTTCTTAAAACCCATGCTTTTCCCACTTGCGTAGTCCCTCCAAACATCGACTGCTCCGAAGCTAGTCATCAGAACAGTACTAAAAGCCATCACTGTACCAACGGAGAACACAATAATGGAGGCTCTCCCATGTTTTATTATGGCTCTTTGTACTAAGATCATTCCGACTAACGAAGCAACAAAACAAATCAACGCAAAGATTAGGACACCATAAATATGCTCCATCCCCAACATCAAGTACTGAACTGCTGACATGGATGAGGAGAAGAATACAATGAATGAACAGGTTGCTGCTGTAACCTATACAATAACACCGAAGAATTTCGTTCAGCACCTATCCAATCATCGGAAACAAACATACAAGAAAGCATTTTTTGAGGAAAAAAGAAGGTAAAATGACAAACTGGTTGAACCCTAACTTACTTCAGGCTTTATTCCCATTTGGAGAAGAAGTGGACTTATAAGCATGCCGCCACCAATTCCAAAAACTCCTCCCAAAACCCCTGCTAGTAACGCCATTATTGGGAACATGAGGTTCTCTGATGGTCGAGCTTTAGTTTCAGCTTCAGTTTCCTTCATCAAGAAATGTACACAATTAATCTCGAATAAGCAATAGTGTCTAATAACCCAGATGAGTAAACCTGACATTTAAGTTCACTGTTCAGATAACTATACCTGCCGATTCTCGAGGCTTTTCCTGCTGCAGAGGATCCACGTCGTGAAAATTATGGCCAGAGGAATTTGGAGTAACGAGATGATCCAGTATCCCACTCCACATGCCTCTATACGTATAATACCCTACATGGTTGAACATTTACATATACTCCATATGCTGGAAAATAATCAACCTAGTGCTACTCCAGATCAGATCACCTCAGTTTGGGAAGAATTTATAAGTCAAATAAAAATGAGCGATGGATAAATGTACATTGGATGTGATTGAAAATAAAGTTTTATCTTTTATAAATGATTTATAAATTTTGCCTTTCATAGAAAGACATTAATTGGCATCTGATATCATATGTAATTGATATTATCCAAATTTGTCTTAGTTCTATGTACTAGAGGCCTTTATAAACTAAGACTACGAATAAGAAAGAATGATTTAATCACCTATGCAAATCATTATTCAATCTGGCTACTATTAACACCCAAAATGAAACTACTAATCTATAAGACCACAAATTAAAATAGAATCAAGCATAGACTGATAGCGTGTGGTTACTGGTCAAGCTATTGAAATCATAGGAGGATTTACCTAACTTTAGATCATACCTGCATGTTTTGTCATTAGATTTTCAAACCATCGATTTAGGAATTGTTTATAAGCTATTTAAATTATATATAATTTGAAATGAGTAGTGGATAAATGAATAATAGTAATGGATTCCACAAAAATATGTATAGCAATCATAAAAAGTTTACAAACATTAGCTCAACACGGGCTTAAGGCTATAAGCGTTGTTGACAGTTTTCAGTTTTCAATTTTGTAAAACACACAAAATTTCTTTGGTTTGATGTTTTTAAAAATAAAATAAAATTTATAACGTAAAGTGAAAACACTCAAAATATGAGAAATAAAATCAATTTAATTCCTTCTTCAAATGGATAATCAAACACTTATAAATGCACGAGTTACTTGATATATTTTAGCATAATTGTTCTATTTTACTAATTAAATTGTAATAAAACAATTTCTAAAAGTTTCAAACCAAGTTTTTCAGTTTTTTGTGTTGAAAAATAGTTGTTCACAAAACAGAATGACAAATCAAACACTTTTTCTACAATATTAAAATGGACCCTTAAAATATAAAACTGAAAATGAATTCAAAACTCTAAACTAAAACGCAAACCAAATTGGGCCTAAGATTTTGAACATCTCAGATGAAAACTTAGAGAGCTAATTTGTTATAGATGTAAATCATGTAAACTTGTTAGTAGCTTATAAGAAATCAGACATTAGTTTCAATTACACATTCATATAACTACTGCATGTTTATTTTAACATATTTCATGTGAATCACTACCTCTCTTTTTAAAAAGTTACTACTATATATGTTTGCACGGACAGAGACAAAGGTCACGAGGAACTCTATTTTCTCTGTATATACACACATGTTTGGGATAAGTGTGTTCTTTATAATTTATATGATGCCCATCTTTCTGAAAGTCTGCATTATATTTCCTTTTGTATCTTTTATTTTACTTAGACAATTACAATTTCTCCTTTTTAAAACATTATCACAGGAAAGAGTGGAGTTATTTAACATACAATTGCATGCTTAAGATCAGACAAAAGTGTTACACAACCACATAAAACAAAAGTGCTTGTAACATAAAGATAACATATTAAATTCGAAGAAGATAAGAAAGCACAACCATACTTGTCCATAGCGATTCCCACGAAGAAGATAGAGCACAAAAAACGAAAACCAGATCATAATCAGCATCCCGAGCTTTATCAATGGAATATCCAATTTAATTAACCCTGCAGGTTCTTCATTCAACAGAGGCACTTCTCCCCCATTTTCCGAATTAATGCAAAGATTTCTTCTTAGAACTTCTGATTCAATTTTCCAATAACATATCCCAGATTTGCAGGTTTTGAAGGTGGAACAAGCAAGAAAAATTGCAAACAGTATTGTGATAAGCCACTCGGGAAGTACGAGATTGCAGAGAACACCAATACTCACTCCCAACAACATGCAGGGCTCTGTTAATAGTGTCATGTCGTAATCAATACCGCCATGTTTTGTACTTCTGAGGAACATGTGGCAGGCAACATTAGCGATTGATCCTCCGGTAACCATGAACGCTGAAAAGCTTGAGGCTGTTTTGAGGTCCAGACCGGCGACAATGGTGAGAATGGGAATAAAAAGACCACCGCCACCAATTCCACCGGCACTCGAAATACATGCGGCGATAAAGCATAGAATTCCGGCTACCAGAAATTGAGGTGTTATTTTCATATTGGAATCTTGTAGCCGCCTTTGATGAGTAAAGTTGATAAGTTGATTAAAAGTGAGCTTATCTGTTGCAGGGTTTGTTGGATTTTCATGAGAAATATCGAAGGTGTTGAGAATTAATGTAAATACGAGGAACCATTTGAGGTTTTTCTGCCTCATTTTTCTGTACTTTTTGTTGAGTAATGAAACTCAAAAACGACAGAAGAAAGGAGATATTTGATGGTATTTTCTTAAGAAGGCTTGTAATTTGGGACGAAGTTTTTCTGTGATAGGACGAAGTGTTTCTGTGACCAACTATTTGGTGTGTCTGTGACCTA